AACTTCTTTTTTGTGACCCTTCTCTTTTTTTTGAATTTTATTTGAATTATTTTGATTATTTTCAATAGAACTTGAATCTATATTTATAAATTTATTAAAAATTTATTAAAAAATGTGAAAACTTTTTATAAAAAAAAAAAATAATTAAAAAAAAAAGAGTGTGCGTGTGAAAAAAAAGGATGTATAAATCAAAAAAAGGAGTATGTATAACAAATATTTTTATAAAACAATTAATCTTTTTTAAAATTAGATAAAACAAAAGCTTTATATAGAAATTTAAAAGAATATCTTAATTGTTTTATAAAAGTAGATCTATCCTTTTTTAATTAGCCATTTAAAGTGTATGTAAATTTTATATTAAAATCAAAAAAATATTTATAGTATTATCCTTGAATCAAAAAAAAGTGAAATTTATCTATTTCTTTTATAATCCAAGTCAAAATCACAGTCAAGGAAGGCATCACTTAAAGAAAAAAGGCAAAAGGAATATTAATAGCATTTCAAAAACAAAGAAAAACAAAAAAAATCACAAGAAAAGAAATAAAAGGAACGTTAATAGTGTTCTAAAAATAAAGAAACAAAAATAATCTCCTACATCACCTTACCTTCATAATCCAAGCTGAAATTCAGATCCAAGAAGGTGTCTCCTAAAGAAAGAAGCAAAAGGAATGTTAATAGCATTCCAAAGACAAAGAAAATCAAAAACAATCCTTCACACCACTTTACCTTTATAGCCCAAGCAGAAATCCAGTTCAGGAAAACATCTCCTAAAGAAAAGAAGTAAAGGAATGTTAATAACGTTCCCAATGACAGAAAAAATAAAAACACCAACTTACCTTTATAGCCTAGCTGAAATCCAGGTTCAAGAAAGTGTTCCCTAAAGAAAAGAAGTAAAATAAAAGTTAGTAATATTTTCAAGACAAAAAAAGAAAGAATTTTGCACTTACTGTTTGAATTCAAGCCATTCAAGTTGAAATTTAGAGTAAAAGGTCCAGGAGGAGAGAAGGAGAGAGAGGAGAGAGAGAGAGAGAGTGTGTGTGTGTATATTATATGTATATGTATGTGTATATGAGAGATTGAATGATATAATACGTAGATTTAATATTATTGTTATTGTAAAAAAAAAAATAAAAATAAAAAAAATTTATGCTTACCTAAGTTGAATTGACCATCCAATTTGTTCACTGAATATCTGATGATCTATCTGATCAATCTGGTGATATAAACAGATCAATTCAAATCTGGTTAAATTTTAGATGGATGACTGAATATCTGGATTGATCAGATTCAGTACACACCTCTAGTTTTTACACTAATAAGTATAATTTCTTTCTAATAATAATTCCTTCAATTCTTGCTATAACTTTTTATCAAATTCTTCTAAAGACATGTTCTGGATGTGTTACTTATTCACTAGTCAAAATAGTTCAAATCGACTAAAAATTGAATTTATAGAATTCTTGAGATCTAGAATTCAGCTATGAGATACAAATTTTTTAATTTCAAAGTTTATTTAAAATGATAAAAAATAATTCAAAATATATTTTCACATGATATCAATATGTACAACATATAAAACAATTTCACAAAGAATTGAAAGAATTTGAAAACAGTTAAAGCGTGATCTATTCAAAAGAACTCTACGAAGAGAATTCAATTATATTTGAAAGACATATATCATTATATTAGATCAACTTTGAGAATTAGATCTCATTAATAAACTCAAAATTTATTATTTTGTGTGAATTTGTTATAATCCGTATACTTTGTAAGTGACAATAAAAAAGTCAGCATAATAATTAGCATGATAAATATATTGATAATCATATTTTACCATAAAAATTGTAAATCTATATAAATTCTTTTTAATATAACAAACCATTGAAATAAGCTATAAAATGCCTAAATTTAATACTATTTTTATCATAATATTATGTTTAATTTTATCTATCGTAAAGAAATTATCTAATTCTGATAAATACTTCTAACGCTTTCTGTCTTTTATCTGGTTTTAAGATGTTCAAACCAACCTTTGGATGCTCATTTCTGGCTATCTTTGGTTAATAACGTAAACTTTAAATGGTAGAGTAAATCAAGTTCATTAAATATTTTGAAGAGATTACAGCTTTATAAAATGTAATGTAGATAGAAATGATACAATCATCAAATATAATTTGATCTGACATTAAGTCAGTTTTGCATAGTATAAATTCTCGCATATTATTACTTTTATATACGAGCAACTCTGCTGCTAATTGTACTTCCCTATAATCTTTTGAAGGAATAAGTATAGCATTTTTTAGCCGTTTATCCTATTAAGAAAGTAATTAAGTAAATAAAGAGAATTTTCAATAATAATCAATACTAAAAATCTCAACAATAATCACATTAATATTATCCAGTCAACCACATAATCAGATTTTATTATAATAAAAGGCTTGCTTGTGATATATATTCTGCATCACAGGTAAGCTCTAAATTTAGATATAATTTAAAAAAAATTGCTAGAACACATTCAAAAAAAGATCTTATTCATAATTTTTCATCTAATTTTTAAAGAATAGCTATGCAATTCATAAATATTATCCAATATATTATTTTTCTTATATTAATTTATTATTCTTCTATAGTTTCATTCTTCTTATAACTTTATTTAAATCATTCAAGAATGCTTTGACATATTTGTCTGAAATTTCTTTAAGATTCTTAATTTTAAATTCTCTGTTTGCAAGTGTTTGAATATTGATTTAAAAAAAATAAATTTCTCAAAAAAATTAGTAACTAAATAATATCTAAATTGTTAGCTTTCAGTTTATCTAAAAGGTTATTATACAATGACATAGTTCATATCTTTTATATCATAAGAGATGTTTAGCAATTGCAAATTATTTATATTGAAAGATGAAGCAGAAGTATTGATTTTTCTAGTAAAACCTTGGTAACTAAGCTTAATATTGACTAATTTTTGTGATTTTTTAAGAGAATTATTAAAAAATGTGACAGTAGATGAGAAAAATACTCTGGCTGAAGAGTAGAAGCAAGAAATCTTTGTAATAGAACTGAGTAGGTAGATAAGTATTTTGTGTTTATACTGTATAGCATTATATTTAGCATATGAAGTAGTATAGTGACGCAGATGAAATATTTTAATAATTCAAGTATAAAAAAAATTATCTTAGATTAAAGGTTATCAAAAATATTTTTATTCTGTACAAAGTACATCACATGTTAATTTTTACAGATTTGTTAAAACTGCTGAATTGTGATGTGATTAGAATTTCACTAATTCAGATCATAATTATCAACTTTTTTTAGAGCTAGCTATTTAATAACTCTTAAAAGCGGCTAAAAATACTTCGCTTAGTTTGAGACTAATGTTTAGTAAAGGGTGACTTTGATCAATTATTTTATAAAAACTATTTAATATTACAGTCTACATTCAATTATAACAATATTATAATATCAATAGCTATATCATATGAAAATGATAAAAAAATGTATTGTAAGTTTTATTTTAGGTGTTAAATTTTTAAACAACTTAAAATGAACTTTTAGTATTCAAGCAAATTTTAATAAATGTTTTAATTATAAATTTTTTTAATTGCATTTTGAAAGTTGAAAGAAAATTATCCATTTGAAAAGTATAATCATAGTTTAATATTTACAATTTAAAATAATTTCAGATGAGCTTGAAATCTCGTTAAAAAGGTAATCAATTTGCTAAAGCTGAATCTTTCACAAATAAGTTTAACTACTATAAAATAGTCAATAATTTCATGTAAACCATAATATATTTATAAATAATAGCTTATATATTTATTAAATAATGGAAATATTTATATAATACGTTTAATTAAATATTAATTAATTTCAATTTGTTTCTTTTACGCTGTCACTGTAAAATTCTTTAACTCGAGGTGGTCACGTTATCAAGTCTCTACTCGAAATTTCTTAACTTTGGCTTACTGCGGTCAAGACGTTAGGATCTGCCTAACTCTTAACTTTACCAGGTTTACGCGTTGAACTTAAACAAATCTATCAAGTATG